GAAGTCGGCTACGGCCAAGCGAGGACGGGGCCAACACACAACTCCCGTTGACACTCCCCTGCCGCGTTCACGCTTGGGCCCCCAACCCACACGGCAGCACTGCTCGGAGAATAGCTCGTCGGCGTGCACACAACTCATAGCATGCCGGTCATCTCACCAGCCATGCAAGAGGGCATGGCACCTACTGCTGCATGCGTCGTCGCCGTCGCCCACGTCAGCCAGACGTACTTGGCCGATTGCGACGGAGCACCGGTTGAAGGCCGGATAGTGCAGCGACTTCGTCAAGAAGTCGACCGGCTGCTTGGTGGTCGGAATGTACTTCAGCGTGAACTTTCCGCGCTTCACCATGTGCTGCAGTCAGGCTTGTCGCGGCTCCATATGCTTGAGGTTGCCCGTCAACCCCATGCCCTCGGCGACCGTGATGGCCGACTTGTTGTCCACCCGAAGAACGGTCGGCGTCCCGGCGTCCAGCTGCCGGAACTCTGCAAAGAGGAAGCGAAGGCGACGTCTCTTCTTGCCAGCTTCTGTGGCCGCCACGTACTCCGACTCGGTCGATGACAGCGTCGTGCACTTGATGCGTTGGATTGATTACGAGACTGCGGCCCCTCCATAGACGAACACGTAGCCGCCCGTGCTCGTCCGGTTCTGCTTGTCGCCGGCGTCCACGTAGTTGACCAGCTTCAGCGACTCTGGTCCACCGCCAAACTCTATGGTGGTGTCACGAGTATTGACGAGGTAGGCGAGGCAACGGTCGACCTCGCGCCAGTGCTGGTCGCTCCTCACCGTGAGGCCGCTCCCCAGCTTGCTGCAGGCAAAGGCGATGTCCGGCCTCATCGTTGTCGCCGCAAACTGCAGCGAACCGACCCTTTGCCGGTACTCCTCCTCCTGGCGCTCCTGTGCCTCCTCGTCGTCAAAAGTCAGCTCGGCGTAGGCGTCGACTGAGAACGACGTCTTCGGGGTGCGCCCAGTCTGCTCCTCGTCGAGAAACCGTCTGCGCAGCTTGTCGGCGTAGCCTTGCTGGTGGAGCCACAGCTTCCTTGCCGGCCTGTCGCGCACGATTTCCAGCCCGAAGTACTTATGCACCGGCGAGATCTCTCGCAGCTCGAAGGCGGCCTCTAGCAGCTCCTTCAACACCTCGGTGCTGCTCCTTGCGACGAGCAGGTCGTCGACGTAGACCAGCACCCAGCAGGACACCCCGTCTCCCGACCTTGAAGTACAGAGCCTCGTCGACCTGGCTCTTCTTCCACCCGGCGCCGACCAGCACGTCGTTGAGTTCTTTACCACAATAGCGGCGACTGCTTCAACCCGTACAGGCTCTTCAGCAGCTTGCACACCCGGCCGGTCCCGTCGTTGAAGTAGTCCGGCTGGTACATGTACATCACCCGGTCGAGCTTACTCTGCAGGAAGGCGTTCTTCATGTCGAGCTGCATCAGGTTGAGGTTGAGAACGGCAACGATGCTGAGGAAGATCCTCAGCGTGACATAGCTGCTCACCGACGCGTACATCTCGTCGTAGTCGGCGCCATACACCTGCGTGAAGCCCTTCACGACCAGCCTCGTCTTCTCTCGCCGAAATCAGTTCGTCGCCCTGTACAGACGAACACGAACATGTTCGTGTTCGTCGCGGCTCGGCTGGCCGCGACGAGCCGAACACGGATGAAGAAAATGGATCGGTGAACTTAGGGCACGATAGGAAGAAGGAATATCCTTAGTAAGAAAATGGTACAAGTCTTAAAGACTAGAGCAAGGTCCTTGTCAAGGATAATCCCTAGTGAAGTGGGAAGCCACATATATGTGGCTGAACTCTTGAGGCTAGCTGCAGCACCTCAATGCTGAGGGCAAGGCTAGCCAACGTTGCCAAGCTAGCAAGTTAGACCACATGTTGCACATGTGGGCCAGGCTGGAACAACAGCCCACATGACAGCATATGGCACACCATAGAGGCCAGCAAGGTGAGTGTCGGATGAGTGGACAGGTGGCAATGCCAACTATGACCACACTTCACTGTGGTGGAGTGTGGTGGAGTGTGGACATGTAATGTGGAGCATAATGAGAAGGAAAGTGCAGTTATTGAGAATTGAACCCACGATCTAAAACAAAAGGTGAGGATCTACCCTCTGGGACATACTTGCTGCACAACAACGGACATGTTCGGGCTCGGGCGAACACGAACATGTTCAATCTGAACACTTTTGGCCAAAGAAACAAAAGCGTTCGGTTCGCCTCGAGCTGGTGTTCGCCCTCGTTCTCAAGCCTATACCAATCTACCTGGCTGAGATGGGAAGCATATATGTCCGCACAAATCGCATAAAATGGTAATGCGACTTACAAGACAGATAGTTGAGTGAGAGCACTAACACTCGAAGGAATGCTGCCTGAAATCTTGTTCCTCGAAAGGTCCCTGAGATGAAAAAGGGAATCAGCAAGGGCATAGCAAATAATCACTCAAATGTTGATTGGTAAGTTGGACTTGGGCATGAGCAAACTACCAAATTGAATTGAACCTGTTCGGTTATTTTACTATATTGGCAGGTGAGACACGCTCGACTCGTGGCAGCTCAAGATGAGCTGGCTCCGCCGAGACTTCTTTTACTGATCCAGCAATAAGAGAGATGGCACTGATCCAGTTTCAGCAGGGGCCGCGCTGAATACTCCTAAGGGACATGTCCTTGATTACTCCTAAAAGACCTGTCGTTGCATTTGAGTACATAAAGGAACAACCAAATCGTGGGGTTTTAACATGGAGAAGCACATGGGCATCGACTCGTGTCAAACAGAGGACGAGGAGACAGTATGATTTGCCCAACAATATGAGCCTCCAGACATCACATAGCACGAGGAGAAGAATGCTGATGAGTTTTCCTGAAAGTTGGAATACGAATCTAGGGCAGTAAGGAGGAAGCAGCTTGACTTATGGAACGTGAAAAATGAGCCCCATCTTTCTTCTTTCTTCATGTTCGTGTTCGTGTGGCCCCTCCGACGAACACAAATGTGTTCGACCAAAATGTCCCCCGCGACACTGCTATAGGTCGACATCGAACAATTGCTGAGCTCATTTCGAGCTCGTTTTTATTTAACACACCCCTCACAGCCTAGTCTAGACTCACCAGCAGCAGTAACACCTTCAACACTACTTACATAGGTTGGCGTTATCGTTTTTCTACAGTCAACACTAGTTTAGGGCTGTCAACATTAGGTTTTTGGGGGTTTAGAAAGAGAGACCAGCGCTGGCTTTTGAATTAGCGCTTCTGGAAAGGCGAGCACGCACATGTTGCACCCTAAGTGTTACACCAATTGTCGAAAATGTTCGTGTTCGCCCTTTGCGCAGGCCTACATAGGGAAGGACACATGCTACAAAACGAGCCCCAGAACTCGAACCGGCCCAGGTCAAGCTGAAACGATTTGGTCCAACCTTTTTCGGCCTGGGGTACTCATGGCCGAACCTGGACCAAGGGTTTAGGCCGAAGCAGTCGCCCGCTTTTTTTGCCGACCCGGCCCGGTTCAACCCGGGCCCTACTTACAAGGCTACCAGCTTTGTCAGCAAGCCAATGTCAGTGGGGATGGAGTTGGTGAGCTGGTTGTTAGAGAGGGAACTGTCCAAGACAAGGAGGCAGGGGTGTGCAAGGAGATGGACAAACAGGTGAGAAGGTAGGTAAGACGCTGGTAGTGGCGTGAGATCAGACATGAGTATGAGGACCCAAACTCGGGCCGACCCGATTCGAACCTCACCAGCCTAGTACCCAACCCAAACAAGGTAGAGTTCCAGTCATTTCAGGTCAAAGGGGCGTGGGAAAACTGTGTTTCAGCGAGGTGGTGTGTCAACGTTGCCACGTGCAAATCACTCGTCAGTGAGGGCTTCGAAGCATGTATCAGTGGTGTGAGTGGTCTGAGAGCACGGCTGACCTTTGTTGGAGTCATAGCGAATAATGTACTGACACGGGGGGAGGGTGCCCAAGGGTGAGGGATATCCGGCGCGCCCACCACGGCCACCACCGTGACCACCATCACGTCCTCCTTCTCGTTCGCGACCATGTCCATACCACTACCAGTGCCGCCTGAGCTGCCACCTCCTCCGCTGTTGTGGTTGACTGTGGGAGTTTTGCGAGTCTGGACAGCATTGACAGTGGTATAGTCACGTTAATTGTCCGCTTCACTGTCCAGAAGCCACTCAATGGTCTCAGCCACAGGAGAAGGATGACGATAGCGGAAGGTGAAGGTGATGCGGTAGGCGTCATATGAGGGGGGGAGGTAGTCGAGTATGCGTGGAGTGAGAAGGGAGTCATGAATGACAATGCCCCGGTCGTTGAGGCATTGTGCCATATCAATGAGGCGACGGGTGTAGGCAGCAGCAGTGGGGGGGGGAGTTAAGGAGAGAGCGGAGATCCTGGCGATCGTAATGAGTACACAGAGTTTTCCAGAACCCTAAGGACGAGGTGGGACGGAGGTGGCGTTTGAGGTGAGCTGGGATGCAGGAGAAGTTGATGGCGAGGGTGCGACGATCGGCCACACGCCATGCTACGACATCCTTGTGGAGCTTTCGAAGCTCTTCAGCATAGTCTTTCTCATCTTCTCCGTAGGAGAGGATGCGTGTTAGAATATAGCATATGTCAGTTTATATTGGTGCTAGTGTTACACCCAATGTGGGTGTACACTTTGGACCAGGTTTGGTTGGGTGCACCCCAAACCCACTCGACCTCACTTGATTGGTTCATCCCAACCATTATTGGTCCCTCCAATAATTGAAGGTCAGCCCAAAGTTGGTGACCACTCTTATTGGTCCACCAATAATGCTTTGGGTACCTCTCCAAGTCACCCTCAAGTTTCTCTCCTATATGTACCCACGTTTTTCCTAATGATATCAACTCTTGAGTTCACCTCTCATCCCAACTATGGGATTCTCACATGGTATCAGAGCTGTTTAGGCTAACGCCAACTTCCCCCTCCCTAGGAACCTCCAGCCATCATGCTGCCCTAGGAGATCCTCGGCCCCGTGACACCTTCATGGTCTTTTCCCTACCAGCCCGCTCCCCTCGCTCAGGCTTCCCTCCGTGGCATTTGTCGCGCTTGTACGCGCCGACCAGCGGGACGTCCGCGCCGACCAGCGGGACGTCCGCGCCGACCAGCGCGACGAACGCGCCGACCAGCGCGACGAACGAGCCGACCAGCGCGACGAACGCGCCGACCAGCGCGACGAACGCGCCGACCAGCGGGACGTCCGCGTCGACCAGCGCGACGAACGCGCCGACCAGCGGGACGAACGCGCCGCCCGTCAATCCCACTCCCGAGGGCGTTCCGCCCGTCAATCCCACTCCCGAGGGCATTCCGCCCGTCATTCCCGCCCCCGAGGGCATTCCGCCCGTCAATCCCGCTCCCGAGGGCATTCCGCCAGTCATTCCCGCTCCCGAGGGCATTCCGCCCGTCATTCCCGCTCCCGAGGGCATTCCGCCCGGCATTCCGCCCGTCATTCCCGCTCCCGAGGGCGTTCCGCCCCTCAATCGCGCTCACGAAGGCATTCCGCCCGTCATTCCCGCTGCCGAGGGCATTCCGCCCGTCATTCCCGCTGCCGAGGGCATTCCGCCCGTCATTCCCGCTGCCGAGGGCATTCCGCCCGTCATTCCCGCTGCCGAGGGCATTCCGCCCGTCATTCCCGCTTCCGAGGGCATTCCGCCCGTCATTCCCGCTCCCGAGGGCATTCCGCCCGTCATTCTTCACCACGCTTCCACCCACCTTCCCCCTCTCCTCCTCCACCTAAGGGCCTTCCAGCCGTCCTCCCCCTTCCCCCTCGCTTCCTCCTCCTAAGGGCCTTCCAGCCCTCCTCCCCCTTCCCCCTCGCTTCGTCCTCCTACGGGCCTTCCAGCCCTCCTCCCCCCCTTCCCCCTCGCTTCCTCCTCCTAAGGGCCTTCCAGCCCTCCTCCCCCTTCCCCCTCGCTTCCTCCTCCTAAGGGCCTTCCAGCCCTCCTCCCCCTTCCCCCTCGCTTCCTCCTCCTAAGGGCCATCCAGCCCTCCTCCCCCTTCCCCCTCGCTTCCTCCTCCTAAGGGCCTTCCAGCCCTCCTCCCCCCTTCCCCCTCGCTTCCTCCTCCTAAGGGCCATCCAGCCCTCCTCCCCCTTCCCCCTCGCTTCCTCCTCCTAAGGGCCATCCAGCCCTCCCCCCCCTTCCCCCTAGCTTCCTCCTCCTAAGAGCCATCCAGCCCTCCTCCCCCGGCGTGCCGCATCATCCGCCGCAGCCCCTCCTCCGGCTGGCGTGCCGCATCATCCGCCGCAGCCCCTCCTCCGGCTGGCGCGCCGCATCATCCGCCGCAGCCCCTCCTCCGGCTGGCGCGCCGCATCATCCGCCGCAGCCCCTCCTCCGGCTGGCGCGCCGCATCATCCGCCGCAGCCCCTCCTCCCGCTGGCGCGCCGCATCATCCGCCGCAGCCCCTCCTCCCGCTGGCGCGCCGCATCATCCGCCGCAGCCCCTCCTCCCGCTGGCGGGCCGCATCATCCGCCGCAGCCCCTCCTCCCGCTGGCGTGCCGCATCATCCGCCGCAGCCCCTCCTCCCGCTGGCGTGCCGCATCATCCGCCGCAGCCCCTCCTCCGGCTGGCGTGCCGCATCATCCGCCGCAGCCCCTCCTCCGGCTGGCGTGCGACCTCACCGCCGCAGCACCTTCGGCTGGCTTGCCTCCTCACCGGCAGCAGCCCCTCTCCCGGCTGGCGTGCCGCATCATCCGCCGCAGCCCCTCCTTCGGCTGGCGTGCCGCATCATCCGCCGCAGCCCCTCCTCCGGCTGGCGTGCGACCTCACCGCCGCAGCCCCTCCTTCGGCTGGCTTGCCTCCTCACCTGCAGCAGCCCCTCCTCCGGCTGGCGTGCGACCTCACCGCCGCAGCACCTTCGGCTGGCTTGCCTCCTCACCTGCAGCAGCCCCTCTCCCGGCTGGCGTGCCGCATCATCCGCCGCAGCCCCTCCTTCGGCTGGCGTGCCGCATCATCCGCCGCAGCCCCTCCTCCGGCTGGCGTGCGACCTCACCGCCGCAGCCCCTCCTTCGGCTGGCTTGCCTCCTCACCTGCAGCAGCCCCTCGCCCGGCTGGCGTGCGACCTCACCGCCGCAGCACCTTCGGCTGGCTTGCCTCCTCACCTGCAGCAGCCCCTCTCCCGGCTGGCGTGCGACCTCACCGCCGCAGCACCTTCGGCTGGCTTGCCGCATCATCCGCCGCAGCCCCTCTCCCGGCTGGCGTGCGACCTCACCGCCGCAGCACCTTCGGCTGGCTTGCCTCCTCACCTGCAGCAGCCCCTCTCCCGGCTGGCGTGCGACCTCACCGCCGCAGCACCTTCGGCTGGCTTGCCGCATCATCCGCCGCAGCCCCTCTCCCGGCTGGCGTGCGACCTCACCGCCGCAGCACCTTCGGCTGGCTTGCCGCATCATCCGCCGCAGCCCCTCTCCCGGCTGGCGTGCGACCTCACCGCCGCAGCACCTTCGGCTGGCTTGCCTCCTCACCCGCAGCAGCCCCTCTCCCGGCTGGCGTGCGACCTCACCACCGCAGCACCTTCGGCTGGCTTGCCTCCTCACCTGCAGCAGCCCCTCTCCCGGCTGGCGTGCGACCTCACCGCCGCAGCACCTTCGGCTGGCTTGCAACCTCCCCTTTCGCCCCTTTCCTTCGGCTTTTTGGCCTGGCATTGGCTTCATACTTCAGGGGTTGTGAACCATTATAAACTTCTTATGCTAAGGGGTTGTGCTAGAATATAGCATATGTCAGTTTATATTGGTGCTAGTGTTACACCCAATGTGGGTGTACACTTTGGACCAGGTTTGGTTGGGTGCACCCCAAACCCACTCGACCTCACTTGTTTGGTTCATCCCAACCATTATTGGTCCCTCCAATAATTTAAGGTCAGCCCAAAGTTGGTGACCACTCTTATTGGTCCACCAATAATGCTTTGGGTACCTCTCCAAGTCACCCTCAAGTTTCTCTCCTATATGTACCCACGTTTTTCCTAATGATATCAACTCTTGAGTTCACCTCTCATCCCAACTATGGGATTCTCACAATGCGCGCACTAGTATCAGCAATAGCATGTTCCACAGCACGATGCGCCTCACGCTGGAGGGTGTAGGTGTCGCGAAGCTTGTTGTAGGCGTTCAAATTGGCCCCCCAGCGATCCGGGCTGTGATGAACTGGGGCACGAGGGGGGTCGGGAAGAGGCTTTGGGAGAGGAGGGGCGTTAGGGGGAGGAGGTTCAAGAGAAGGGGTGAGAATGGGTGAGGCCATTGGGGTGCCCGAGGACTACCTCAAGAGGACAATAGTCTTGAATGATGATGGAGCCAAGGTTGGTGTGAAGCGTATCCTCAAATGACTCCCACTTCACTGCCGTAGTGTCATGGAGGAGCTCGAGCTTGTCGAAAGCTCCGAGCTCAATGGGAGTACATTCGTCCGCCATGAGGGGGAGGGCGGGTGCGGTCAACGGGGGGACGACACAACCTGGAGGGGTGGTGCGGTCAAAGGGCTGCGCCTGGTTGCATCGGCCGCGGCTGCGCCCGGTCGCGTCGCCCGCGGCTGTGCCTGGTTGCGTCGCCCAAGCATAACACTAAATGAGTGAAGGGGTAAAAAAATGGGTGCTTCACGAATGACTTTGGGGCACGAAAGTGGGGGCTAATTGTTTCGACACAACTGTTGCACAAAACGTCTTCGCTTCTCCAGAACTGTGCAAACTTATTAGTGGGCTAGCATAGGTTATCCATTAGGAAAACGGAATGTCACATCACACGACTGTAATAGTGGGCTCGGGTAGGAAAGGGGGTAGACTGAGGTGCTGAAAAAGGCATTGCAGGAAGCGCACTGCTAGGATATTACATTACTTGCGTTCTCTTCTTCATTCAAAAGTCAAACTAATTATAATCTTCTATTGCCTTGTGGCTAGAGTTTCTCAATCAAAAACTAGCAACAATGTAGTAGGGTGACGACAAACAGCAGAAGAGTGGATGGTAAAGAGGGGTGTGAATTGAACTGGGGAGCTCGAGGGAAAGACAGTTGCTCGATAGGAGACAAAGACAGAACAAGAGAGTCATGAACCTGATGTACAAAATGCTTACAGATGCACCAACTTCCTCAATGAGCCAACCTCTGCAGGGATAGAACCGGTGACCTGATTATCGTAAAGATAACTGAAGAGAAACGTGATGAAGATATGATGGGATGTGAGGGAGAGGGAAAGGCAAAAAACGGAATTCTAAAGTCAGCAGGGGCACGATAAAGGAGGCGAAGTGCCTTTGAAAGTACTCTGGTTAAAGGCGTCTCCGCTTCCCAGGCCCGGACAAAGTTAAAATTAAAAAAAAAAAAAAAAAAAAAAAAAAAAAAAAAACAACAACAACAACAACAACAACATCAACAACAAAACATATTGCTGGGCTAGGTTAGGATTATCCATTGATAAAACGAATTTCGCATGGAAGGGGGCAGAAAGAGGTGGCTAAGAATTTATTGCAGAAGGCAAACGACACTAAACTAGGACATAAAACGTAACACTAGGGTTGAGAAAGGTAGCAAACAGCACTTCGGTCGAGGTTCGGCCTGATGGTTCAGGTGGGCAGACCGGGTTAGGTAGGGCAGGACTAGGCACGAGAAAAATCGTATCCGAACATGCTTGATTCGAACTGGTTCAAACACCTGTAACAGGCGAACAGAATAACTTCGGTTCGAGTCAAACACTTTTCAGGAGTGTGGTGTTCGACTATTCGAGTCGAACATGTTTAAGTTTGGTTCGAACTAGCCTTGTTCATAGGGTGCCACTGCAGATGAGCGGGGTTACCAGATCCCTCATTATCAGCTCAGATTGCCTTGACGCTCGGTCAACCCGACCCTCCCTTGGGTCACAGCAGGCCTGCCCCTAAAAGCCCCAATCGGGTCGGCTGCCCTGGGGTCCTGACCCGACTACGACCTGACCCAACCCAGCCTGTACCCGACTCAATTCAACCAAAAAGGACAGGTTCCACCGAACATATTCGGTTCGGGTCAAACATTGTTTTTGCAACTGAACTGGATGTTCAATGTTCGACCGTCCGTATTTTTGACTCAGACATGTTCTGGTTCAGCTCAGTTCCATATTTGGCCTTTTCTTTTGTGTTTTTTTTTTTGTTTTGCCTTTTTATTTTCCAGCATGTAGGATTAGTGTGGGAACCTTCTAAGTAGGGATGAGAATAAGGGTGAACCTCTGTTCGGTTCAACATGTTCGAGCCGAACAAGTTAGAGTTCGCTCTTGCTCATCCTCACCTAGGCTTGAGCAAGGTGGCGAACACCTGTTCGGTTCGCCTCGAACGCGTTCGAGGCGAACCGAACAGGTTATGTTTTTCAGCTTAAATCGTTCGCCCGAACGTGTTCGAGGTTCGCCCGAACACGTTCGTGTTCGTGGCGCTGCTGCAAAACGCCCCTTGTCGAACACGAACGTGTTCGAGGTTCGCCCGAACACGCCTCCACAGGCGAACAGCGAACACCTGTTTTTGGCTAAAATGTTCGCCAAACCGAACACTGTTCGGTTCGGCAAAAGGACGTGTTCGAGAAGGGGCGAACACGAACATGTTCGTGTTCGCCCTTTGCTCATCCCTATCCTCACCTAGAAGGTTCGAACGCCATTCCTACATGTGGAGAAAAAAAAACGTCGTAATAGTGTGGGAGGTAGCCTACCTGGGCTTAGATGCTGTGTGCAAACAAGTTCGAGTCAAACCAAACAGGGGTTCGGGTATGCGCTCCCTTGTATTGATGTACCTACCTAACACCTGGAATAAATTCCTAAATACCAATTTACCTGGCTGTTGATATGGTGAGCATACATGTGGGCTTGTATTGCATAAAATGGAATGTGTGACTTACAAGACAGTTAGTTGAGTGAGAGCACTAACACTAGAAGAAATGCTGCCTGAAAGCTGGTTTCCCGAAAGATCCCTGAGATTGAAAAGGGAAGCAGCAGAGGCATACTAAATAATCACTCATCAAATGGTGACTTGTAAGTAGGGCTCGACATGAGCAAGCAACCAAATCGAACCGGTTCGATTATTTTACTCTAGTTATTGAACTGACGCAGTTCAAGAGGAACCGGAGCCCATTCGTTGTAACCCAATCGGGCTAGGTAACAGAGGGAGGGTTCCCAAGGTGGATTGAACCAAACTTGTTCTGGTTTGGTTTGAGCCCTAGTGATGGAAAAGGGCATGGAGTCGAGTTTTTTACTCGTTTTGGGCCAGTAACGGCTCGGCGCCTCGACCAAAAGTTAATCGCCCCATGTGAGCGGACTTAACTCGCGAGTAAACGAGTACGAGTTTTTACTCGCTCGGAAGAGTTAAATACTCGCAGATACAGTTTCCCTCGTCCCGGCATGAACCTTCCAGCTTAGTTGGAGTATACGCGTTTCGCGGTTCATACGCTAGCATTTATCCGCTAGCGTATACACGCCGAACGCTTCTTGGGAGGGGTCCGATACGCAGTGAAAACGCAGGCCCGGGCACATAAATGCTTTCGCCGGGCAGTTTGTTAGGTTAAGAGGGGGGGATGAGCGAGGTGCAAAGCACGAAGTTGGTGCACGCAGTCTAGTCATACTCGTCGATACGAACGAGGTAGGAGAAAACGAGGTAAAAAAATCCGAATGATGAACATCGAATGGAGAAATGAGCCGCATTTCTGCTAGGAGAGGTGAGTCAGGTTGGATCCAACTCTCCACTCGACATTGAGTTGAAGGAATCGGGATTGAATGGGGTGGAGTGGGTTGCGCAATGATATACAGAAGGGGTTGTTGTGGATCTGCTTCGAAATTCAATTTCGAAGTTGAGATCCCGAATGTGCGATGAGCTAATTTTCAGTTCGCCATGTCGCTAGCTCAAACCCTGTTAACCACTATTGGGATCTAAAGGCTCTATGCACGCCCTTTAATACACACTAGTTAGTCCCCACGGGGTCACCTCCAAGGGTCTTCGGGTGCCTGGTAGAACCAGCCCCTAACCAAGGGCCCGTGTTTTGTAGAGGGACACACCAAGTGTAAGTTCAATCGACGGCACTAGAGCGCTCCCAAAATCCTTAGCACAGCGTTGACGACGAATTGGCTCGTGTACAGATTTTACTCTTCACGTCAATACGTTGTAAGAGCAATAATTCATTCACTAAAGGATTCACAAGGATTAATCACAAACAAGCACAAGCAAAGATTAATACTAACCCACCAAAAGCAAAAGCTAACAGCCCACCGAAATAGTGGCTAGCACCATACTTCGAAATGCCAACTATCTCCACGCGAAATCAGTGGCAACATACTCGCCCACGCATAATTGTGTAGCCCATAATTGCCCACGGAATTCCACGGGCGAACATGACAGCTCATGACCATACGTGACAGTTGATGAAAACACATGAGCGATTCGCACAGTTACGTGACGAAATTACGAACTCGTTGAATTCCACCTCGCTCAATTCGCACCAGCGTCGAAAGTAAATCGCGCACCTCGCGAAACACCCTGGCGAAATTTCCACCTTGGAGGATCAGGACAAACAACTCGTGGGTCAAGCGAAATCTCGCTGGCCCCACATGGCACCCCCGAAATCCATCTTGTACCCACGCGCGCTCGTCTTTTCCCTCGCGCCACCTCACTGCCACACTCGCGCGTGTGGCTCCGAATTGAATTGCGGTCTCGGGCCACGCGTGTGCCTCGACTGGCACCCTTCGGCCCTTGCTCCCATGATTGCGCAACAAGGCTCGGGCTCATGGCCTCGAGCCTTGACCAGCGCAAGACTTAGTCAAAGGGGCTGGTCAAAGTCTCGAGCCCCACACCCAGCACACCAGAAACACACCATAAACACTCACGAAAGATGCACAGTAATTCATGAAGAAAACATAAACAAGCCTGAACAAACATGAACGAAACATAAACAGTCATGAGCGAACATGATCGTACATGAACGCTCATGAACGCTCATGAACGAGCACGAACAGCACGCGAACTCTCATAAACAGAACGCGAAGGTCCATGAACACTCATGTACCCTAGGAGCTTCACACACATTCGTGAAACGCCACGAACACACGAAACACACACGAACAATCATGAAAACGCATGAATGCAACCTCACACTAAAATGCACATAACTCAAGAACCGCTACGGTGATTCACAAACCGTAAATGCCAAAATGAAGAGCACAGAAATACGCATTCTACACAGACCAAATTACCTTAAAACATATACCTTTAAT